GTTGGTTTCCATCGTTTGTTTGTTTTTGTGTCCTTTTCCAAATTAGTTTTCATGTTTTTACGTTGTTCTTTGTCCTGTTCCGTTTCCTTTTGGTTTTTCCTTCTGTTTGTCCTGTCTTTTTTTACTTTCCTTTGTCCTTTTCCTTTTTCCTTTTCCTTTTCGCTGGCCACTGTGAGCAGCACAGCTTTTTAAGCTCCAGCACGACAGCCGTAGAAGCAAGGGAAGCCAACAGCCACAAAAGCCAAAAGCCAACAAAGAAGCCACCAAGAGCCAACAAAGAAGCAAAAGCAGAAGAAAAAGAAACAACAACAAAAGCCACCAAAAGCCAAAAGCCACCAGAAAAAAGCAGACACCTCCCATGAAAGATGGAGTATGAAGATACACAAAGAACATATATACAGGCGCAGACAGAACGGGCGATGTGTTTCCTCATCATTTACATTGCGGGCAGTCCCATGTGTGGATCGCACGCCCCACGGCCCAGGCCGAAGGAACGGCGTACCGTCAGGGTTGACCCATCCAACATGAAGAGAACAACGGTGAAAAACCACTGTATGCGGAAGCTCCCAAGATCCCACCAACGTGCTCTGGTCTGGAGGCCTGAACAGGCGGCCGCTTGGCCGCGAAAAGCCGGCTGGTCCATTGACGGCCGCGTTCGGGCTTTCGAGCCACAGCATCTCACCGAGCCAGGTGTTGAAGAACGGTTCAACCCCTGATCCTTCTTCATCATGGCCTGATCTTTGGTGGATTTGTTTCTCCCCTCTTTTCGACCTCACCCTCCAAGTCCGTGATGTAGAAGATATCTGACTGATGAACCGTCTTCTTCCCTTGTCGTCTCGTTCTCCTCCTTTGAAGCCTCTTCGGGCTGACTTCTTGATCGAGAGGTGGTGACCTCTTCTGGCGAGGTGCTGGTTGAGACCGGTGCACAGTGGTCACCCAGTTACGTGTCTCATAGATACCCTGCAAAAGAACTCCAACGCCGAGTTCGCCGAGTTCTGGCAACTTGGTGAGAACTTAAGGTCCATCTGACGCTCGCCAAGGGTCCATCCATTCCCACCATGGGACTGGAAGATATCTGCCTACGGATTGACCCCTGATGTGAGTCCCATTCGTCGTGTCTGGGATTGGATCTTGGATCAGAACTGTCCTCAGATATTAGTCGACCCCGATTCCAGCAGCCCAAGCAGCCGCAGCTTCGACACTTTAGAGCAGAAGTGGACATGTTTGGAACTTCTTGTTGATCTTCCACAACAAAAAGATGTCATCAAGCCGAAGTCATTGATGTCAAGAAGCTTGTTCAGAAGCCACAATGAAGCTGTCATCTACATGTTATTTTCGCCAAAGCATGGAGCGACTGGTCTTCCAGAAGACAAAATGGACCTTCCATAGGTTTGGCTCTGAATGTTCTAGCCTCCCATTTGAGGCACAAAGGGAAGGATCCGCGCATAGATTATGCCTTAGATGCACCAATGGTAGGATTCACTAGTCAACCTACCTGCAACCTCGTGGTGGCCTTTTCTGTTGGTCGGTAGCTCAATTTTCCTTGCACAAACATCCGCAATCAACATATCAAGCAATACAGAACTATCCGCGGACTCAATATTTTGATGGCAATCACTCCTAAAAATGTTTTTCACACCATAGAAACAGAAAAACACACACACTGAGGAAGTTCCAGATATCAAGACGGTCATGGTGACGGCCCCGGGTCGCGACCTGTTGAACCGCCTGGACCTGACCCGGACAGATGTTCGCAGATGTGAACGGTGCCCAAACCAACGACACTGGGCTCCATACCATCCTCAGCCATACCTTTTCAAGCTGATTCCACAAATATCAGCAACACGCGCCCATTCTATAGATCCCCAACCTCCCAGAATTTCCCCCCCCCAACTTGGCTGTCGCGCGATTTTGGCAAGGTGATGCTGACCTTGTCGGCAAGGCAGCTAGACAGCTCGAGCTCGACAACACCCCCCTCCTGTCTCAAGGACCAGTCGTGGTCCAAACAAGACCAACGACCTGCTTCCGCGGCATGAGAAACCCATTGAACATATCTCGAATAGTCACTGACCTGCCCATCCTCACCAATGCGTGGTTACCATATGAACAAGAGGCCTTTTGGTCATGAAAAGTCATGGTATCCAACTCCAGGACTAAGTCAGTCCGAAAACTCCTGCCCCGGGCCATGGTTGATGCCAAGGGCTCCAGCAAGCTCCAGCTTGGGGGGTCTAGCGGATGACTCTCCTTTTCAAAAATTCAAGGAGCCTTCGGACGCTACGAACGGAACAATCGGACGGGCATCGCGACTCGAGTCCGGAACGATCGGACGCTTAGTGTCGCTTGCTTCCCCTCCCGGGAAACGAGCCGTCGGGAGATCGTGAGGTTTTCGTGTGGGAGAAGCGAAAGAAGAGCGATGCAAAACCAGGCCAAGGGATTCACCCTGGACTTGAAACCATAGAAATTTATAGAACATCCCGGATTTGTTTTAAAAAATAGACAAAACCGTGATAAACCGTGTGATTGGTTGAAAAATTGTTTGCACCTGTGGGAAGTAAGCCGCAGTTGCCTGGCGAAGTTCAATCCAAAATTGCAGGGAGTGCATTCTGGATCATTCTGGCAGGTGATTTATATGTGATTCACTCCCATCTGCATCATCTGTGTGCACTCCATGTGTAGGGGTATCCTGGGGTTTATTCACTTTTGTCAGGGCTAGGCCAATCTTGGTATCTGCATGCCTTTAATCAGAAATCGCTTAAAAAGTCACCCAAACACCTGGAGCAGTTGCCTCCCCCCGGGAACAAATCTGCCAAGCGGCTCGGTACTCGCCAGCCTTAACACGCAGGGGGCTGGGCAGAACGTCAGCCGTTGAACGTGAGATCTCCGCCAAACACTACGTTGTGTGCTGTAAATGTGTGTTTGTGGCTGTGTTGTGGTGGTGTGTTGCGGTTGTGTTTGTGGTTGTGTGTTTGTAATTGTACTTGTGTGTTTATGGTTGTGTGGTTGTGGATGTGTTTGTGGTTGTGCTTGTGGTTGTGTGATGTTGTGTGTTGTGGTTGTGGCTGTGTGTTTGTCGCTGTGTGTTTGTGGCTGCGTGTTTGTGGCTGTGTTTGTGGTTGTGTGTTTGTGGATATGTTTGGGGTTGTGTTTGTGATTGTGTGTTGTACTTCTGTGTTTGTAGTTGTGTGTTGTGGTTGTGTGTTGTGGTTGTGTGTTTGTGATTGTGTTTGTGGTCGTGTGTTGTGGCTGTGTGTTTGTGAATGTGTGTTGTGGTTGTGTGGTTGTGTGGTTGTGTGTTTGTGGCTGTGTGTTTGTGATTGTTCCAGTTCAGAAGAGCTTGCCACGCCTTCTTCAACTAAATTGGGTGTACCTGACTATCATAGTAGTGCGCCACCCGGTATCGAGTGCCATCACTAATGGGTTCATGTCATTGGAGTTCAATCTGTCCACCCATCCATTGCTCCAAATGATATCCGCAGTGGGATACATGACCTGGATGTCAACAATGCGTGCATCCTCCCATGCCACGATGGTGGCAGGCAAAAACAGTCAAACACACATAAGCCTCTGATGGCAAACAAACAGAAGCCTGTACTGGCATACATAAGCCAAAATGTGACACACACATTATACTAGTTCATACAAAGCTGCATCCGAAGGCTTGTCAGCCTGCTTCCATCTTTTCTTCACCAGTTCACTTGCAACAAAACATAGTTGCTGAATTGTGTCTCTTTCTGAATTATCCATTGCCTCCACTGCTGGTAGTGCAGGGTAGGGGCCATCAGGCCCCTTGCGGCACAGCCATGGGCTTCACAAAATTCTGATAGTTGCGCAAAGGGGTGGCGTCCCAAATCTTGGCCAAGGGGCTGTTGCGGTCCTCCACCTGGGTAGCTTTGTCAAATGCCCTTCAGATCTCGGTTAAAATACACCAGCGACCGGCATTGAAATTGGGCTCACAACTTTCCCAGCATGAGGAAGAAGACTCTGCTTCATGTGCGCTTTTTTTCAGCCACAGACCAAGCTTCCAACATCTTCCAACAGATCGCAGCGAATCATCATCTACAATCACCGCAACGCTCTTACTGGAACCACTAGACGCCACTAGACGCTCTTACTGGAACGCTCTACCCTCGTCCTCTTATTGAAGGTTTGCGTGAAATGAAGCACATCCGACGCTCCGAGACCCGACCAGACACCACGGACCGGCAAGTGCATGGAGCACGCCGCGGCAAGTGTGTTTGTGGTTGTGTGCTGGTCCTGCGAGGAACATCCTGCACTTGCTGTTGAGGTCCGGAGGAGGAGGTGGAGGTGGAGCACGGCAGCTGACATAAAATCTAACGACCCTCACCTGTGACAAGCGGAAATACCCGGTTGAGGTTCCGCGGGGAACACTGCAATGATATTTCAATCCACTAGAGTTATAACAAATTGACAATAACCAAAGTAATGCACATAATCAGGCCGCACTTGCTTTTATTACACCATCGATCTCAGGCTCACACATGCACATACTTGCTGTGTGGTGTACATACTTGCTGTGTGTCAGATGTGACTAACATTCTTGCAGGCAAATGCACTTCGAGTGATCACCGGCGGGGAGCACTACCAGCCGAGGTTCGCGGTTGAGGATGACACGGAGGAGAAGGAGGGTATGAGCTGACATAAAATCTAACAGCCCTCACCTGACAGGTGGGGCAAAGAAGATCCAAGTCACTAGTGCACTGTTGCTCAATACAACACGAGGAGGTTTTGCCTTACTTGTCTCACTTCTTTTCGCGAAACTCTGGAATCCCCTTTTTTGTGCCAAAAAAGCTCAGTGATCCAGGGTGGTCCCATTCTTCCTTGGGTGAACTTTGGAAGACTACACTGTCGTATTCTACAATCCAGTGGTTTTCAGCCTAGGGTTAATGATCCCTTTGCCAATCCTTACCGCAACGATGGACACCTCTTTTTTTCCAGCGACGCTTCGTTCTTGCGACCAGAGGCTTCAAACCTTGGAGACCTCATGAGGTTGTTATGGGTACGACCTCAGTCCGAATCGGCTTGAAACAAGGGCAGTTAAGAAGGCACCGGACACCTCGGAAGACTAGGTTCTTTACCCGCAATGTCACCCTATCTCCAGGTGGTAAAATGCGGTGAAACAAAGACAACGCTTCCCAAAGCTCCCCCCTGCGTCGAATTGTAATACGTTACCGTACAATATCCACGTCCGCCGCTTCGGGGAGGTTAACCCCAGCTGCTTCACCAACAAGAGTTGCTCCAGCCCTAGAAACATAGTAGGATCACGTTGTCTCTCTTGTGGTCCATTCCTTTCTGAATCAATTGGTTTCGGAGATACACCCCCGGCAAAGCCCCACTTTTTTGTTCATCCATATACTCCTGTACTCCAACAACCGATGAGCCCCAGCACAACACTTGTCATGCTGAGGCTTCCGCAGTTTCTTCTAACCTCGGAGGTTCCGAACGGTGCCGCGGAGGCGGATGCCACATGCGCTGTGCAGTGCAGCTCTAGGAGTTCCGAAATTGAGCCTCATTCTCAGTACCCTCCATGTAACAGCCTGTTAGGAACCTTTGGTTTCTAGTCTTTCTTGAGACATCCATTATATTTTAGCCGGAATCAACCACTGTAGCTGCTACGTGTCGGAACTTCTATTCATGTCCATAGTAGATGGGGCAATCTTCCCCTGCACAAATATGTGCTTGCCGCAAGTTTCAACAATTCCTTTGCTTGGTAACTATACTGAAGGGACTTTCGATATGTGAGAGCGACGTCTCCAAGTCCTTCATACTTGCAGCCAAAACCACCCCTCCAAAGAACTCCCACTTCTGTGGAAAGCACCTACTCCCGCCACTCGCTGCTCCCAGCTGCGGGGTCGACATGTCCGATTGATCTTTGACCAACTCCTTTGATGTTCCCTTTGTAGTGCATTTTGGGTTTGGGTTTTCTGCGTTTATATCGAACATCTAATAAGATCCTTAAACAAAAAAAAAACACACACACAACAAACACACCCAAAGCACGGCCCCTGGGTATAAAATCAATGCTGATCTCCTCCTTTTGACCCGAACTCGCTTCCCTCCGTCCAATCACTCACCGAACCCGTGTCTCCCGTCTCTCTCTCCCACCCCAGTCGGTCGCGTCGACCCGGTCGACCTGACTCGGCCGAACGGCCCAAACTTCGTGACGCCGGCGAGGTCCACGGACTTCCACGCCTCGCTGTCCAGCCTCTTTGGCGGAGCCGTGACCCAGCGGTGACAGCGGTGACAGCGCGGGACATGGAAGGCTGGAGTAGCTTCGACCCTTTCGGTGTGGTTGCGGCCAAAGGGCTTATTGAAGAGTCCGGGCCAAACGAAACGAACAAACATCGGAGTCAGTAGGATCATGTAGAAACAGGTCATCTCAAGGTTGAACATAAAAAACATCTGAAGTCAGCACACAGTGAAGCAGATGGAAGCAGTTGGAAGCTTCATGGGCTGGACTCACCGGGACCTGGAAGAACCCTATAGGCATCATTGGACCCTTGCTGTGGAACACAGGCTCCGTGATGCACGCTGTGGTCTTTGAGGCCGGCGGCACATCCTCAAACAACTGGTAGACGGTAGACGCACACGATGACCACCATAAGTGATTGGCACACAGCCCAGCCAGCTGGATCCAAATCGACGAACTGGCCACCACCACGGGCGGCTGTCCTCTGTCCTCCTCCTCAGGTGCTTCGTCAGACAACTGTTTGTTACTTTCTCGGCCTGGTACTTGCCTTTCACCCTTGGTACTTGCTTGGAGATCACTAAGAGGCTTACCCCTTTCACACTCTTGCCTTTCACCCTGGCAGCAGGCTTGTTGTTGCTGCATTTGTATAGGATCGGAGTTCCTGCCTCGGACTGGTGTTTGATCACATCGGAAACCATATGTAGGTTGCCCTTAGTTACTTTTTCCGTCTACAAAGGAGCTCCCAATTGCACCGGCCGTCCCAAAGCCGTTCACAGAAGGCACAAGTCGAAAACCATGCCTGCTACACTGCTACATGAGCTTCTTCAGTGATTCAGAACCGCAGCTGAAAGTTGGTGGACTGCGCTCAGTATCCGAGATCAGGAATCCAACATTGGATCATACGCTGTAAAACGCATCTATATGGATGCGTTTCTACGTCTGGGCCGAAAATCTCCTATACAAACCTGTTAAACTGGGTTGAACACATAGAGGAGGCTGAGGCTATAGCCTCCCGGAAGACCAGTTCCGAATACCAAACAGGTGGTGCCCTCCGCTTCCATTGGTCCATGTGTTCACTAGAAGTGTACCAAGCCCAAGACCGATCCATCCGTTGAAGACCTGTCGATCCGGCCAAGCGAATGATCGCGCCTCTCGAAGATTCTCAACTCGAGGCCTGCAGCCCGGGGAAATCCCAAAAACGGTGGAAGAGCATGGCTGCACCAAACAGTATTACACATCAAAATGCCAAAGGCGCAACAACAAAAAAAGGCAAAACCACACAAACAGCAAAGAGCTATTCATCAACCCAAAAGCGCCCGGAGTGTACTATCTGCCATCATCTACCCATGTCCGTTTCGCTTCACCGGTTGAGTGTTTGCACCGACCCAAACGCTGCCGAACCTGGAACAGCCTGGTGCATCTGGTCCAGAACAACGACCCGGACCGGGGTTCAAAAAGGGTAGGGAGGAGGGGAGACTCCTCTGGACTCCTTTTCTGCTGACTGGTTCATGGAACAAGTCTCTTCCCCAGAGACTAAGTACTCGCGACCGCAAGTCTATGCGAGTGCGAGAGGGGCAGCGGATCGTCGGATAGAGGATAGCAATGAAGTGACCACCCTCCAGGCTATACCTAAACGGGCAGCGCATGTTGAATGCCCAGAGGCCTTCCCCAGCGAGCTCTCACCAGTTGTTCAAGAATGTGGTCTTTAACTTTGATCAGCAATGATGTTGGTAACAAAATTGATTGCACCATCATGTGGCATCTGTTGGTGGAGACTAACCGCTCGAGGACAGGGAAGAATCTTTCACAACAACCTTTGAGAGACGCCAAATCACGGGGTCCTTTTTTGAAAAAAACTGGTCCAACCCCCTATAGTCAGTCTCTTCAAAATAACGCATTCAACCTCAAAGATCCTTGCAATTTCTTAAGAAATCATGAACCATTGCATCCCGTTATTTCTGAGGCTGCATCAATTCCGGAGCCTCCATGCACATTGCAAAGAGTTAGTTGCTGGTCGGTTTGCCTCTTGTGGTGAGAGACTCGGACAGGGATTGGACCCCGAATCTGGTGTGTCAGTTCTTGGTCTTTTCAGCTTGGAATGATTTTAGAAACCAGGAAGAAAATAACAACAACAATAAGAAGAGGATTCTAACCGAAAGAGAGAGAAAGTAAGTAAGTAACTGTAACTTTCGGATCTGTCCGAATTAGCGAGAAGGACGCACCATGAAAGTCATTCACATCAATGATGTCTGTACTTGGACACATCAATGATGTCTGTACTTGGAAATAAAGGAGTCCATGCCACGTACCATATCTACATTGATTGAACATAAATACCAACCCCAGGGTATCACAAAAATGAGGAGTCGATGCCGAGTACCATATCTATCCTGCTTGTTCACCTGCCAGGCTCTTCTCTTTGCTTCGACCTTGGCCGTCGACCCGCTCACGGCCACCGGTCGCTACCACGGGGCCTTGAAGCGTAAAGAAGCCGTTGCTGGAACGGCTCAGTGGCAGCCATCCTGCACTCCTCAGTGGCACCCCAACAGGGATTTTTCGATCAGGTGGTGCACAGGGTGAATCTCTGGTTTTCTGGCATATTATGCATAAAACACGTTGAACAACGGCGGAATTTTCAACATTGATTTGCGCCATCAAAACCATATATGTGTCATTCTTGGATCTGTATATGATATGTGCATGTACTGCGCATTTGCGGGCACCCCAAAATGAGGTCTTCAATGTCTGAAAACACGTCCAAAACCACCCAATCTGTGCATCGGATCATTTGGATCGGGCAAAACAGCCCTCGACAACCCCGCGGTGACCGTCGCGAAGGCCCTCCCTCGCTCGTCTTCACCAAGTCTCTGCAGGACGATGGGGTGTCGCTTCTGCATCTCCTGTCGAGACGACCGGAACCCTCGTGGTTGACGACTCGATATGTCTTTTTTTTTCACGCAGTTCTTGGTTTTCGAGCACGCGGAGATAGGACAGGCGTCGGGGCATGCGCGGCTCCCGGAAACTGAGAAAAAAGATAGAACAGCATCTTCACCCGGGGATTCAGTACCGAAAAAACAGCACTGAGCCGCAAACCTGCCGAAGTGGTCGACCGGTCGATTGTCTTGGAGGTCCGTCCGTGCGACGAACGGTCGCAACAAATAATGTTTCTCCCGGAGTTTTGCCTCATAACGAAGGTACTGCTGCAAATCTCTCTAATTCCCAAACACTCCATGGGACTGCCATAGGACTGCCGATCAGTTGTGGTTGGGGGGGTCAGTCTAGGCATATATGGCAGTCCCATGGAGTGTTTGGGCTTGGCATCCATCTGGGTTTTCTTCGTTGAAGTCATGGAGCCGCCGAACTGCACGTGGCCGTCGAGACGTGCTCGGCTCGTTGAATCCTGCGGACAGCACCTTCAAGTTGCCGTCCGCAAGTAAAGAACGATGGCGGAGTGGGGTGCACCTGTTTGCACCACATGTCACCTCCCCAATCACACCCTTGGTGTTTCCCACAGTGCGAAAACGCACCTTCTCTCTTCGAGCTATATAAACACCAAAGACCTCGCAAGGTGTGGGCGACACATCTACCTGGAGTCTGGTATTTTGGACTGGGTTTCAAGTACCCGATCTGTATGGGTTCATGTGTTCTTTTTGTTTGTGGCCTTTCAGGTCCAGGTATTCTTCACAAACCGTGCTGGTGGAAAGTAAGTACTTGTTTGTTTGTTTGTTTGTTTGTTTTTTTCTGGCCTTTCATCCATGGGTCTGAAGTCATGAAGTATGCAATAAGTAATAGATGCGATCAAAACATATTGTGCAACATATCAGGCGATGCTTTATCACTGGAGATCTGTGAACAAACATCTGCAACCATCGTCTTCTCGGGAGAAATCATCAGAAATCATCAGAAATCACATCTCTTTCTTCGTGAAGGCGAAGTAAACAAAATGAACAAATTTCCTGATGAACACACAGTTAACCAGAACGTCTTTCCACCTGTTGATCGGTCGAGTGGGGGGTCCCCTCTTTCCACCCAAAAAGGTTTAAAGAATCTTCACTGACTGGGTAGATCAGTCCCAGTCCAGTTAAACTGATACATGGGACTGAACCTCTTACCACCCTCTTTCCCGAAGGGGCTGAACTCTGCATACATGAGGAACTCTCATCCATTCAGTCCCTTCGTTTTTACGCAGATCCGGAGACCAGAGTTCCGTCCTCTGCCAATAAGCGCCAGTCAGGCCCTTCGGCCAGTTCCACCTCGACGGCTGCCCATCGGGCAGTTCCACACGGTGCCGAAGAACTCAGACATGTTAACTCGTTCTGATCTGTCTGGGTCAGGCAATTACAGCTGTAACCATCCACCATCTTTGTTTTTTTGTTCGATTGCTTACTTGAATAACACAACCGATGCACTGCACTCAGGAATTTACTTGTATAAATCCTTTCGGGCTAAGGTTATTTCCATTCATTTCCTAGTGTTCCAAGATTCTTCACTTCTAGAAACCAGGACAAACCTTTTTCTAAAGTGCTTGGAGCCGAGGTTAATGCACCCCTTCAATACATGATGAATATTAATAAATTATCAATCATATGATCATAGTACTAATCCGTCCTACCTACAGCCTCATTTCCAAATCGATTAGCGTCCTCATGTTCCCTTTGCAGGCTGTTATGATTCCTTACCTTCGCGCGTTCAAATTATCTTTATAGTATAACTGTCCTTGCCTTGACCCTTAGGAACCAATGACTCGAAGGCAAACTGTTCTTTCTAAGGCTCAAGGTAAATTACACCATTACGCCGCGATGGTTGGGGCCTAGGAAAAAATACCCAATAATAGAAATTATCAAACGTTTTTTGTTGTTCTCAGATCTTTTCACTGTAGATTGATGCAAATCGACGTCAATGAACCAGTCGTGACGTCAATGCCTTCTCCAGTCTGTCCCCATTGAACCGCTCTGCTGACTGAACCCTCAAAAGTACCCTAGACAATGGGTGCAAGTATACCTGTTGTTCTATGGGGTCATGTCAGTCATGTCCCAAAAATTTCAGGCAGTCTCATGGTCCGTCGGGTCCAGTGTCCTAACATGTCCTATCCTCTCTCCCATCCTCTTCAAGCCCAGGTGCAATCACTCCTTGCTGGATGGAATTTCCTCGGAAGGATTCACTTCGACACGGAAACGGAGACTCCCAAGGACCGGTGCCCGTGGCCGTGCCGGGCCGTGCGATGCACCGCTCGTGCCGTCCGTGTCGACCTCGCAGACGATGAGCGATGGGTCAGGGGCCAAAGGATACCTGCCTGGATTGACGAAGGTCAAATACACTAACTTTACCACAAAGACCAGGGGACACTAGAAATCACTATAGAACTTCATTCAGTCTTCAGTACCTCTCACTGATATCGAGAGTTGTTCGGATCCACGATGAAGTGTTCAAGTTCGCCCAACTGCGTCGGCAAACACAGACTCCAGGTATTCGATTCATGCGGAACGGGCATGATCGGTGACTTCGTGTGAAGAACCACAGGATCCAATGAATGGCCACCTGAAGAACCACAGTAGGACCAATTGCGCCGGCTTTTGAGTGACCAGCTGAGGCTGTCAGCCATGTGGTGTGATTCATGGCTACTAGTGCATGTAGAACAATGGCTATCGCTATATCAATACCAAAAACTGTACGTCAAGGACTTTAAGCCAACGATCTGGTAGAGGAACTCATGGTGCTCAAGCAACCAAACACGTGTGCAGTGTCGGAAGTGTGTTTTTAATCAAAAATTAGCTCCTACTACACAGGCAACTAAGCATGAACTTCGAAGCCGCCAGCAAAGCCACCACCCACTTGAAAGAGTTCTCTGGAGCCCCTCAAAGTCAAAAGATTTGAGACCCCAGACCCCGCCAAAGGATTCGGGTACAAATGTCTCATAGGGGATTCAGGTCCCGGGTCGCTGTGTGGGAGAAGCTTTAATAGCAAGAACGCTACTAGTAGCCAAGGGCATCGCGACTAGTAACAAGGGCATTACTACTAGGAGAAAGAAGCTACTAGTAACAAATCTTTCACATGACAAGCTCCCCTCCACTCGTTGAGCTCCCCCACGGCGCCGCAGCAAGGTCTGCCGTGCTCCTTCACGCCTGAAGGAACTTGAATTCACGTGCGTGGCACGGAACTTCATGGCACTTCCACGGAAAAACGCCACTGGGAGCTTCATTGGAGTCCGTTTCTTCCTCGACATGAAACCTCTCACGAGTTAAGCACCTGAAGAATCTTCCTGGTCCTACTTGGTCTTGTGAGTGCGTGAGTCAAAGATTTTGCCAGCAAAGGATAGCAACAAACAAATCATCTGCTGTACACACCGTGCCTTTTGGGATCTTTTGGCAGATCGTTGAGACGCTGTTCGACCACGGCAAGCAAGAAGGCCTGCAGCGAAACTCGCTCGAAGGGGAGAGTCCACCTCCTGATGAACGCGGAGAGCAAGACCTCCCTGGCTTTGGTACTGACTGTGGGAACCCCTTTGTGATAATAATATGTGAATATGACGAACCCTTCGTCATCACGAAAGGATGTATTGGAATACTAATCACCTTATCTGACAACTCCGTTGGTTTCATGAAGACTCCATACAATATGTGTGAAAACCGCAAAACTGTTTGAAAACACCATGGTTACCAATGGATATGGCATGCCAATGGAATGCCACAAGAGCCCGAACAAACATTTTTTTCACCCTATACTAGCAAAATGGGTTTGGGGGAACTCCCGTTGTAAGCACATGGGCGTCTAAAGAAGAAAGGGTGAATCACTACAACTCAGAACTAACACGTGCCACAAGAACCATCAAACACCTGTGCCTGGCAACATCTGCACAATCTGGTGTTTGGCAGCTCAAAGACCCTGCTGTGCACCGTGCGCACCAGGTTGTAACACCTGGCTAAGCACATGTTTTTCTTTGTCTTTTGCTGTGGCATGCCAGGCATTTCACGGATGTTTGGTGGTGCCGGAGCCGGAGCGACTTCCGGTCCCCCCGGGGGGATTGATCTTCCCCCTGCACTTCTCCAAGCGCCTTCTCCCGAGCGAAAAAAAAAAACCACGCGGCGTGGCGAAAGAAACGCGCCTGCTTCAGGCGCTTCCGGTAGAGCTCTGGATTCAGTTTGGCCTTGCAGGGCTAAAGGAAATGAGGGTATTCCCAGTGAATCCGATCCCAAACACGACCTGTCTGGGCTGCACATGCTCCCGGTCAGGCCAGGGATGGCCCTTCACCGCCAAGCGATCGAAGCGCTGCTCCGCTGACAAGTCGGCTGGCTTAGTGAACTCATGCAGGGATCTTCAAGCGCCGAGCGCCGCGTCTCTCGGGCCCGCGCCACTGCCCCAGCAGGGGCATGTGTAGGTGAGGAGGGTCGATGGTCAAAAGTACGGCTTCTCGCGTGGCGAGAGAGGAGGGCGGCATCGCAAGTGTTGACCATGTCCAAATTCTCTTCAAGTAATTCCACAGCATCAGGCGGGTGGAGAGGCTCATCCTGAGTCTGTCCAAGTCCAATGGACTGGCCAATGTTTATCTTTCGGGATGCTGATGAGATCGGCCAGCACTGCAAGTAGATGACCCTGTCGGTTGTCATACACGAAGGCCCAGAAGTTCGCTTCCATTGTGACAAGGCAAACAAGCGAGGGTGGTGGGAAGGGCGGTCTGGTCAAAGGGCTGCGGCACGGGTGTCGCCCTGATGAGATTGCCTCAATGTGTTCCTTTCAAACTGCAAGAGCTGCACTTTTTCCCGGAATTTGGACCATCTGTCTTTAGGTTTTCCTTCGCGTTCTTAACGCATGGCCATGTCCCGCATGGCCTTCGTCTGGAACCTCGTCACTTCAAGGATTTCATCTTTGATTGGATCTTCCTCCATGGTCGAAGTCTTCTGGTCGGGCTTCGAGTACTTCGCCAAGCCTCGCGAGGTCGGCGCGCCACGCATGCCTCTCGAGACAAGTGTCATGCTTCTTCAGCAAGACGAGGAATCTCCTCAGGTGTGGACACTTCCGCTTTTTTCCCACCTGTCAGGTGAGGGTTGTTAGATTTTACGTCAGCCCCATCTCCTCCATCTCCTCCTTCGCGTCCTCCTCCGCCGGACTGTTTGTTTTAAAAGTTGAACACACTTACTGTGTCCTCACTTGGCTGTCATACTTGTTACAAGTAAACAGTGTTGCAAACCGACTCGGACTGGGTACTGTATGGGACAAACATTCCTTGGTGGTGTTCTCAAACAAACACAACCTGCCAAGGAAGAAAATCTTCTTTGGACCTGGCAATGCAATGAAAGTGCTATTCATGTTCACTGGGGACTATGCACGGGATGGCAAACAAAGGCATTCTCAACGTGTTTCCTTCACCCTGGACGTTCCACGCAGCAGACCTCCGCAGTGGGAAGCCCGAGAGGCCGAGCACCCGACCAGCCATCCTGGTCCAATGGACAGTTCGCCACCGCCCGAGTCCTAGCAGTGTCTTCGTTCCGGGACAAGGGAAACAGCGGTGCCGTGGTGCCTAAGAGTCTTTTTGACGATTATAAATTCAATATGATCTTGGAAGATGTGGGGTCTTCTTATAGTCACTATAATAAGTCCGACAGGTTTTTCTCAAATTTGGATAAATTTGGGTAATGTTTTTTTGGATAGGACACTTTCCAGGTAGGTTAACTTAGTTGGCCCCAGCATCTTTATTGGCTATCTAAACACTCACAACAAAAGGTACAGTTGGATCGATCGAACAATAATGTCATTGTCCCATCTCCGCAATTCCACATCAGGCTAAATCTCAACTGCGATAACATGTTGCCTATCTAAATGCTTTCAAGGGTGTTTCATGAAGTTGCGCCCAAAGCACCCGACCGAAAAGTGCCACCAAACCCAAGCAGCGGTCCCGATGGAACTTCAGGGTGCGTGCGCGGGGCTCAGGTCCTCAGTGAGTGTCTGGATGGGTTTTGTCGTGTGACAAGCGTCGGGACTCGTTTCTTTATAGCCCAAGAGCTCTCTCCCAGACACGACCCATGGGACTGCCATATATGCCTACATTGACCCCCAAAACCACCCCAATTGATCAGCATATATGGCATACGTGGAGTGTCTGGGTCTGAAAAGGAGGTTCGTTTACTATCAAGCGAGACAGCGCTTGCAACGTATACAACCGCACACCATTCAGCAGCCTGCTCTCAGCATGCTGCTGCTGTGCCTGGATCTGCAGGGCCTCGTGACTTTCTCTGGATCCACTGAGCCAACACCTCGCTCCTGATGAGCATGGTGCCCTTCAATGAACGCGGATCTCGCCTGAGGTGTTCGGACATTCCTGCTGCGCAGCATGACCGCGCATGACCTTCACCGGTGGATCTTCTGCGCCGGTCAAGCCACCGACTGCGTGCCTCAACGTACTGGGCCAGTGTGACCAAACACCGCACCGGAGCACCGGCGTTCCCGGCACGGCGACCAAGGGATTTGCCAAATGGGAACTATAGAACGCACAGCCTCTAACAGCCACGGAGACAGGTTGAGTTGTGTAAGTCGTAAGTTAGTGTGTGAGTTGAGTTGAGTGAGTTGAGTTGTGTAAGTTAAAGTTGTGTGAGTTAGTATGAGTTACGAGGAAGCGGGAGGAGAGGAAGGAAGGACTTGTCGCAAGAAACACAAAACAAACACACCAAGATGTGGGGAATCAACCTAAGCAAAACCAGCAAAACGGAGATACTGTTCCTTTCCCAGACACTCCATGTATGCCATATATGCCAACATTGACCCCCCAAAACCACCCCAATGTAGGCATATATGGCAGTCCCATGGGTCGTGTCTTGGTTTGGGACAAAAAAACAATACATTCCGCCGAGCATGTCACATGGAAGTGGTGCCCCCTGTTTGTATTCGCAAAGGAGTCTTCCAAGGGTCCCAGTGTGACAGAGTGAAGTCCGACCCCACGCCAATGCCGTAGAGAGTCAATCGATCATCCATATCCCAAAGCACGCCATGCAATGTATGGAATGATTGACCTACATTTGACAATTGACCTCCATGTTTTAACAAAACATATTACACTGAAACAAAACATGCATATGCTGCATAGTATATCATAGGAGTGTCTATAGGAATTGTGGAACAAAAATGAGTCTATGATAGTATCATAGACACTCCTATGATAAATCATAGTATCTCATAGTATAATCAATTTATCATGAAATCAAATGAATGGGTACCTTGAGTCTCCAAATACCTTTTTTTTCTGCGTTTTTGTTTTTGGTCTAATATTTTTGCGTTTTTGCTCGAAAAACGCGTTTTTAGAGATGAGGACTCAAAAAAAGGTGCAGAGTGAATCTTCATCCGGACGCGTCCGGCACGGACGCTTAAAGACGCCTTTTGGACGCAAAAAGATGCGTTTTGGACGCCGAAAAAAGGTCTCAGGACACTGTCTAAGGAGGATCTGACAGGGCATAAACAAAAAAGGAACATTTCGTGACACATGCAAAAAAGAGTGCTTTCTTTCAAAAACCTCTTTTTCTTGGAAAGGCAAATTTAAAAGGGTCATTGGAGACTCAAGGTAAGTCTATCTTTGTCCTTCATCCATTTTATTGGAGAATACTATCCCAGACACCCATGGGACTGCCATAGGACTGCCTACCCATTGACCCCCTTTCGATCACCCCTGGCCGTTTCTCGGCAGTCCGGACTGGCAGTCCCATTAGTCGTCGTGTCTGGGCAGAATCGAATCGTCGCAAAACCACGCCGAGCCGCGTGGCCACATCAGGCCCCATGCCACCCGGCTCGTCGCGCGATCCGGCGCGGCGTGATCCGGCGCGCGGTGGATCGAAGCGCTGGAGCCGTGAAAGGCGCGGAAAACATGGATTCAGCTGTGGATTCGTGCTAAGGCGAAACGAGGTTAAGACCTGGTTTCAACAAGAATCCACCAGGACAAATACCCAAACACTCCATGTATACCATATATATAATAATTTATATTATATTATATGCCTACATTGATATATGGCATACATGGAGTGTCTGGGATAGGTGTTTCCCTTCTCAAGAAATGGTCGTTGGCTCCGACTCACAGTGTGTGAACCTTGACGCCGAACTGATCACCATGGATGTCCACTGATTGAACGGAGAGTCCATCGCAAGCGCGACGATAGAACTGATCTGAGGCGCGCAATGACAACATCTCACTTTCCAAACAAACAGTGGGCCTGTTATACCATGCATCTATAGATATATCAAATGCGCCCCTGGACGTGGCAGGCTGGTGGCTGGTGGGGTTCCTGTGCTGCTTCCTGTGCGAACGTGGGGCTCCCTTCTCTGCTTCTGAGGTGTCTTGGATCCGGTCAAGCCATGATGCTGGATATGTCTCCCATGGATGGGACGCAGCTATTGAAGCCACGTCCAGCTGAGCATGATTGATACAAATGACATACTAGATTGATGATTGATGTGCGCATGAAGAAAGAACATGAAACATAGACAAAGTTGGTGACAGGTACAACTACTTAAGTACACCATATATATATATTATATATTATATGATTGATTTAGAGCTCAACGCATCGATTCAATTGATCAATTGATCAATGAATCCCACGCAAAAGCTAGGACATCCTCTGCATTGGGCTGGATCTGATTCCGTGAGTCACCACACCAAAACAATCGGCCGTGAACAAGGGATTCATCATTCAACTCCAATGGCTATTCAAATGTCAGAGGATTCACATGACTAATGTAGACTCTAGCGAGTAATATCCCATTTGGAATGTCAACCTTTTCATATCAACGGTTTTGATGAATCAAGAGTCCACCAAAAACGATGAAGACAGCAACATCAACATCAGCAAAACAGTGCTTCACCAACTCAATGTGTTAGTTCTGAAGATCAGGCAATTGAATTGCGGCATCATATGCCTAAAAAATACAACAAAGCATGTGCGGCGACTGATCGCTTCGCCCAAAGATTCAGGACCATCCGTTTCCAAACGACTCAAAAACACAGAAAACAACTTTCTAAGTTCTTCCCAACACCTCATGGCCTTTTTTTGGCCTCTGAACATGGTCGAGTATACTCCCTTTTTCGAAAACACCTGGGTTGCACCGCTTCCGCAAACGTTGGAGCCCGCAAGCGTCGCCGCTCAGTGTTGTTTTCTCTCCGGAAAATGCACTCCTTCGGAATCCTTCGGTTCCTTCCAGTGTCAATCCCGCTCTTTTTGTGTGTTCAAGCGAAGGAACAACGGTACAGGAGATGTTTGGATCCCTGGAGAGTGATTCATATAGGTCCGCAAGAAGATCACAAAAGAAGATTTTGACTGCCAGAATCCATTTCTTTTCTAGATGGACCTTGTGCACACCTGTTTTTTAAACTCAATGCAACTCCCTTTGAGATATGTGTTGATATGTTCCTCAATCTGTTGATGCTTCATTCCTGCTTAGGCCTCACAGTTGCGACTCTCTCAGCGCTGGAGCCAACCAATGTAAGCCTCTCGCCTTGGGGGCAAACCACGTCCAACCCCGACGGTGGGGAGGGTGGGTCACCGATCCGGACCCACAATACCCATACACTCCATGGGACTGCCATGGGACTGCCGCCCCATTGACCCCCCCTGGCACCACCCCTGGCCGTTTCTCGGCAGTCCGGACTGGCAGTCCCATGGAGCGTCTGGGATAGGTGGGGGAGTGGGGGGGAAGGTGTTGGTTCCATCAAGTGGATACAATTCCAACACATGCGGCTGGCGCACCTCATGTGAGATCTGGAGATTCGCCCCCCGGAACGGCCCGGAACTCGACCATTGACTCGTTTTTAAGGTTGTGTTGTAACCCTGTTCCTGCCACCCAGACCAGCAACTCCTAGTGACTCCACAGACACACCGCAAAAAAAAACATCATCCTGTGGTTAACTTTGTCTTTGCAGTTGATGATGATTTAACACAACAACTGGATGCCAAATGTTATCCAAAGCATTGAACCCACCGAGCAGAGAAGACCGTGACCGTTCTGTTTGCTGGTACGTGATCAGTACCTGCCAGCTTGAGCCTTCCTTCATTATCGGTTGATGCTCAACTCAACTCAAACACCTTCAGGCAAAGCACATTCAAAACAAAATGATCATGGAACATTATTGTTCGAGCGGTGTTTGTTTGACCATGTTCAACCTCACATGCGGATGTAGGTTCGCCTGTGGCAAAGTGGATGTAAGTGGGTCAGCAGGTCCCTTTTAGCAAGTCCCCGCCCAGTAGACATTCATTATCTGACTCCCTCAAGTTCCCAGGCAAATAAAGGTTGAATCAAATTGTCCACCTGTCCCTTTCGATTAGGGCAATCACCATCCATGTCCCCCAACAAGGTTTCGGTTGCAGGTAATGCACGTCCTTCCTGGGTTTTGTCTGTCTTACTCTTTGGAGCTCTTGCTCTTGGGAAAAAACGCACAAACATGGGAAATGGCTACTGGGACCAAGCACATGGTCCGCTTCCCACACTGCCGGCATCAGCCGCTGCCTTCCTTCTCCCGACGTGTCGGCCCCTAGAGCGTTCGCCTCCCACGGCCGCCCCAAGCGGCGCGTCCCACTGAGGCTCCCCGACTTCTCATGGTACTTCTTCACCGACTGCCGTGGGGGCGAAGGAGACAGACGTGGCGGCGTTGACGGTGGAACAAGAAGGGACCAGCAAATTCAAAGCACCAAAGAAACGCGTTTCTAGAACAACAGAAATCCAAAACTGATATCTGTGATGTTCCATATTATATATACCTGTTTCAAAAGAGATCAGTTTTCCACGGACCATATATATATATATATAGGTTGTTGAGGTGTCACTGGATGAACTGAACTGATGACCACAAGCTCACGGAATCTCCAAAAAGGCATCCCTCCCAGATCCAGATTGATATGTTGGACGTTCGGCAGTTGACAACATATCCCAGCATAGCTCTTGACTACACAGTTGTTTTTGTTGTTTTAATGAAGCAATCCGTGTTTTGCTGTCCAAGGACTTACTAACTCCAAAGGGTTGGACTTACTAAGTAGGACCGGTCGGACTTACTTAAGTAGGACAGGTCTGACTTAGTAAGTACAACATGCTGAAATATTGGCTTGCTTGTTTCAACTACAGTACGTTAAGTGGAACAAGTCGGCCGCAACCAACTAGCAACTATATGCTTGTAGAACATCAACCAAATAGAACTTGAACAGGAAGGTGTGCCACTCGTTAACAAGTCAGTTTCCTACTTAAGACTAATTGGACTAGAAACTAGGCTGACTTGCTAAACTTATTGAATGACTGGTCGGGCTTATGACTTCGTTGTTCAGTGATCAACCATAGCAACTACTTAAACGCAGGGCCGCACTTCCAAGTATGACGACCGGTTTGGACAGCAGCGAGGCGCCCTCGCCGGGCTCGCCCGATTCCGAGTTTCCGGCCCGGCCAGGGTCTCCACTGGTGAAGGGAGAGTCAACGGAATGCGCCGGCCCAGAATAGAGTCAGCCGTTTCGCGTGGAGCACAGGAGCCCGTGGAGCTCTGTCATGCCTGTCATGGTCTGTCTTTCTACTTGGGACACATTCTACAATTTGCTCGTCATGCTGCTCTGCTGCTAGTTGCTTCTTTTGTCAACAGCGATCGCAGAAGTATTGCATGGAAGAGGTGGCAGATGGCCAGAGGGAAGAGTTTGTGTGTGGATTACAACTGTTGCAAGCTGTGTCATCCAAGCAACAGATTCAATCGTCTGGGCAACAACCTCCGGTGATGCACCCGCGGTACCGGGCACGTGCGTGACGGTGCGTGACGTACCGCTGGGCACCTCCTCCGCCATGGCGAAGCAGCGTTCCGGAAAGCTCAGCATCCATCCCACCTGGAGGGAAGGAACGGCGGAGACCGGTCTAGACTCGGCCGGTGAGGTGGTCTCCAGCGCTGGAGAACCGCGCAGGTGGAGCAGAAGCCAAGCCAAAAGCTTCTTGCTTTAAGATCTAAGCAGGGGGGGAGCTAGGGCGGTTGGGCGAACTCTAAAGCTTGCTTTGGCAGTTTTATAAACTTAGAACAAAAATACGCATAAAACAAACTCTATGCGCAATCCATCGACAACAAAAGATCAGCTACAACTGAATAACCTGAATCTCCCAAGTCACAAACCGTGAGTGCACTCTTTCAGGGTTTCCTTGCCTTTGATTCCCTCGAGAAAAAAGGGCCCCGCCAGCGGTCCTAATGGGGTCGGTTCCAGTGGCGGGAGATCACCAGGTAGAAAACGAAAACCGCCGTAGAACGTCCTCATGGCTAGGATGACCAGTTTCCTCTGCAAACAGGGTGGTGAACTCCACTTCCCACATTTCAGGGAGTGTAGAAAACAGCGCTGGGGACAAACTTATAATCTGTGGACCCGAACTAGTGGTACATCTGGGGATAGACATGGAAAGACTATACTTTAGGGTTTTTGTTAGCCTCTTTGAGGTATGTGTCCTTGTAGTCCTTGCAATTGGGAGGCATCGTTTGTGTCGTACAAGGAAGTGGATGGTATGCCAATAAGAGTTTCCTCTACAAAGGATGCACCTTCCTCTACGGGTCGGGTCTCCAAACCGACTAAACCTACCTGCACTACCTGCGAATCTCCATTGAACACCCTGACAGGAAGGTTCAAATGTGTCCTTGTTTGGCCTCATCTTGTTGCACGAAACATCGAGATGGTGCTCAACTTCAGAGGGTACATGTGTTCGATGTTGTCTGTCTGAACGCCTCCTGTCTGAAGGATCAAAGACTTTCCTTATCGCATCCGGAATGTACCCTATATTGAAGATAACGTTTTGGTCCATGCAGTAAGATCAGTAAGTACAACCTCAAAACAAAGTGCTATCGTGAGGTTGCGTAACGACTATTCCCTGCTTAGCATACTGTACAATGGACCCCCAGAAAAGTCAAAAAAAACGACGCCAACAACTACCATATATACTGCTACTACTGCCACTGCTGCTGCTACTACACTGGTACGACTGCTGCTATATGACTGCTACTACTACTGCTGCTACTGGTACTACTGCTACTATTGCTCCTACTGCGACTACTCCTGCTCATTCTCCTACTCCTACTCCTGCTCCTCCTCCTACCTCCTACTCCTACCTCCTACTCCTACTCCTGTCACTACTTCTACTACCACACCCACCACCACTACTACTACTTCTACTTAATTACTACTAATTTTATTGCTGCAACTACCCAAGTATACCTATGTAGATCTCCAACTCTCTATCTCTTGAGATGTTGGTGCTTGATGGGTCCTCATCTGAGACTGAGACTCAAACTCGTTGGCGATTCACCATTCGGCGACGCGCCGGAGCAGCGGTCCCCAAACAAAGTCTCCCCGACATGGTCATCATCTTCGAACTCCTTCGTGGACAAGGTGATGCGCCCGTTCTCTTTGTCGGCATGAACCTCGGCTTTTGTTCTGCAATTCGTGGCGGAACATGCGAGCTGGATAACGAAAAGCGAGAGCGGTCTGGCGGAACAAGGATGAACAAGGACCCAGGAAGACATGGCAAGCCTAGCCCCCCCTGAATTTCAACACAATGAGTGTTGGATGGTCCTGGGTTAAGCTGTGACAAAGGTCTGATCTAGTTGGATTGCTCAGCATGTCTGATGCGATAAACGATCAAGCCTCCGCCGGCTGGCCGATCCAACTTTCGGAAGTTCAGACCTCCCTGCTGAGCAGGTCTGGGAGGAGGGCGATTGAAAACACACCGATACTATGATGAACAAATGGCAGCCTGGGACTGCAGGCGGTTGTTTGGGTGATTCCATGTGTTTGATGACAAGTTTTTAGTAGTGGAAAGTGTTCTGAGAAAGGAGGCCACACGCTCATGTCACATGTCCATGATTGTTGGAGGGTATATACTTCACCAAATCATCTGCACCATTTGGTCCTATAAGCATTCCCAGGCCATCAAACACACAGGCCACAGCCACAGGGGATCCAGGCCACGTACATGAGCATTTCAGTCTTCGGCGGGAACATCTTCGCCACCCACTTGTGCGAGGATTTCTGCCCAGGCGCGTCGTGTGGCGTCGGGGGGGGGTTGTCGTGCAGTGGCGCGGGGGGGTTGGACCATGGAATGGAGGAAACCGCGAGCAACACAAAGAGAAATCACCAGCTAAAAGCTCTTCCCCGGGTTAAAGGATTCACCCACACAAAATAAATATCACCCGGATCAACAAAATCACGTCAAGTTTCTGGAGAGGAAATGGGACAAACTCAAGAGAAACACCGAAAGACTTTCCGGAACAGTTGATTTCTTGCATGTGGGAAGTCTATGGAAGTCTTGTTTTTTTGTAGGGCGTTTGCAGTTCACTTGGGTAGTTCGGCCCGCCAAACAAAATGCCACTCCATCAGTTGAAATTAAGTATTGAACCCTCAAACTGCAGGAGCTGCATTGAGACACCCATCCTCCCAAAGTGAGTGCCATGCAGCACATGCCATCAAATGCCTTATTTCCTGACTCTGTCTCATGCTATATGCTCTCATGCTCTGCTCTCCATGTGCTCTCATGCTCTGCTCATCCCACTTCTCCACGTCCGCCCTGATGGCCTTGCGGCTAATGTCATTCATGTCCAGCATTCCTTTGGGCCGACCGTTCTCACTGTCCAAGTCCATCACCTTGCTGGCGGTGTGGTTTGAAACCGCCAGCGGTCGAGGGCGGGTCGAAACCGCCAGCACATGGCGGGACTCATGGCGGGTGCAGGATCAAGGGATCTCAAGGAGGGTCCCAACACCAATCAGGCAAGGGGAGGTCCCAACAGATCTAGACAGTATCATCACTACATCCACTTGAGCCAGCATCACTACATCCAAACTAACCATCGTTTTGGAGAACCAGAAACTGGGTTCCAGTCGTGCCTGGTGAGAAGCTGCCAAACTCCAACATACTCCAACACCCATACAACACACACACACACACTCGAGATCAATCACCTCTTTGACAGATTGCCTTCCATCTCCAGCTCGAAGGTTCCTCTCCCAAAGTGAAAAAGAACATGAAAGCACCAACCAGAAGAGAATGACAGAAGAATCGCAAAAAGGAACAACAATGAACAATTATGTGTTTCACCTGAAGACCATTTGATCGCCCCCCCCAAACCTCCTGACCGACTCTGACCACAAAGCTGCGGAATTCATTGGTTTGTAAGCCAGATCAGGGCTGAAATACCCTCGTCACACACCAATCAGCTCCTGGAGGACTCTTGGAGCTTGGAATTCGGCTTAGATTGATTTGATCAACAGGTGCAACGAACGGCACCTCTCTTCCAGACCTTCCTGGCAGCTTCACACCACTTTGTGATTTTGTTGGCCCTTTTTCCCAGACACTCCATGGGACGCATGTTTTTACCTACATTCCTACATTGGAGTGGTCTTTCAAAGGGGTCAATGTCATATATACCGTTATATACCAGTCCCATGAGTCGTGTCACGGAAGCTTCGCGGCTCGTGCTTCGGTGAAGTGCGAGTGCTTCGCCGCGGCTTCCCGCGGCTCCTTCCCCCCCTGACCATGGCTCCACGCCAGACCTTTCGGGCATTGCTTATAGACCAACTGAGCCGGTGAAACGGAGTGTTCAACGGTGACGACGAATGGGCGGAGGAGCGGCGGGGGTCACGGATCTTCTTTAAAATAAATACTGTAATGACGTGGACGATCTGTGCGATATCGGCAATAATTACTTGGTGGTTCGCTCTTGAATGTTGCTTCTTGATCATCTCTCATCATCTCTCTCTCTCTCTCTCTGAGCTTCCTGAAGAACATCTGGGTTGATCAGGGTGCAGGTACAAGGTCTATCTCAAGGAAATTGATCAGTGACGGACTTGGCTCGATCGCAATGGTGAGATTGGGCGGGTTTGGATGAGGATTTGGCAGTCCAGGAACTGCCCGGAACTGGTGAAAAAACATTGAAAACTTGAAGAACGACAAATTCATCAGGTTAGGGGATTCACATGGACCGGACCTATAATTGGGAGAATCCCCAAACCAAGTGTTGATTGGACAGACTCCAGCAAATGCGAAATTAGATCTGTCGATGTGATTCGAGAGAAGCAAATCATGTGAAGCATTGACCCACATGTCTCTTCACTCTTTATGTTTGGAGTCTTTGCACTTAAGCACGAAACTACTGTGGGTCATAAAACCTCTATCCTACCCACAAAGCGCGGACATTTGAGTGTGTAAGCATCCTGGTGACCAGCACAAGACTCCTGTCAGGTCACCAATTGTGGCCTCCAAATTCCTGGCTCAACTAACAACCCTCCATTTCGGAGACCTTTTCTGAGTCGGGTGCTGGTTTTTCATGCGCAAGGAAACGTGCGCTTGATCCCCCCAGTCACTCTTAAGCACTGGGGCATGACCCTTTACACGTCTTTGGAGCCCTCCACCCATTGTTCCGAGGGACGAAACGGGTCGACTGCCATGAAACTCCGACCGGTCCATCTTCCGCCGCCCATCTGAGCAGCCCGACGCCTTTAATCAATTGGCCGGCCTGGAAGATGGGGCGTTGGGGCGGCATCCGGAGGACGTGGGCGTTTTCGAGTGCCACCGGGCCTCCAGGGTCTGAGCAAACTTGATGGACCTCTGCTGCTCCAACCTGAGACGAGAAGACAGAAGACGAGCAGATGGTGTGATGGGTGGCGAATCAAGTTGTGTATCAGGTAGATCGGCGATGCAGCCTGCAGCCAACGAAACAGCAGTTTGACGCTGGAGACGGAGGTGAGATTAGGAGCTGCGCCTGCGTCCCTCCATGATCACTCAAAGCAAAGTATCCGAGCTGCGCAAATCACTACCTTAATTGCTACAGAACAAGCTTATTTTCAGTCCACCTCATTCATTTCTCTTGTTCTGAAAAGTCTTCATGTGGCATGTGTGGCCCCTAAGTGCCAAACAGTTGCTAAATCTATCGCATTCAGCACAGGGAGATCAATCACCAGACCTTGCTAGACATAGATTGACGTTCCAGAAGAAAGCCCGAACCCATGCAGTAGGTTAGTGACTCACCGAGCAAGCCCAAAAACACACCGATATGAAAAAGAGATCTCTGCACAAATCTCCCGGGACGAATGGCTGCCCTTCACACTTCATCCACTCCGTGCCAAGACACCAAAAGCGGTGGGAGAATTGAGGCTGCGCCTAGACGCTCTGCTCCAGGGACGCTCCGGTGCTTCCCAGGGTCGGGGTGACTCGGTGTCTGCGACGGTTTAGTTCCGATCGAAGGTTCCCGGGGCATCCGAGAGTGAGAACAGTGGTTTTCCGAAGACGACATGGTGGTTGAAATGGAGACTTCAAAGTGGCAGGTGACCGGAGGGTGCTGGGAATAGGTGCAGTTTCCAAAGGTCGTGATGTGGTTTCTCCCGAAAGGAGTGGAGAATGAGAAGCCCCTATCTTTCCACTATGGCCTAAGCCTATATAGTTGCTCTGCCGGCATACCCTATAGGTTTCCTGGTCCAGGCATTGTTAGACTATCAAAACCAGCTCAACCGGGGTTTAAATGGTCTTGGAACTGCTGGCATCTGCAGTTTCTAGTCTGTGCATCTGTGGACAGTGCATCCGTGCATCTCCATCGACCCACACAACATGGATCATCGAATGCGACCCCAATAAAAACACTCCGCTCCGTCTGCGCGGACTGACCAAGATAACCTGCCTATAAGCCTATAGACGTGCCTAGACCGACCCCAACATGATCATATTTCCCTCAAACTCCAGTTGTGCTCTACCGTGGCATGTCCTGGGTTCCGTCATACCCTAAAACATACTAAAACCATAGACCTAGAATCCCTGGTTACTTATATAGTGGTAACTGGGATGCACTGGGATCGTTTGGTTTTGCTACGACCAGAGCCCGAGCTGGATTCATCGAGTACACATCGGCCAAACACATCGTGTCCGAGGAACATTCCCGAGGCATCCGGGTCCACCATTGATTCAATGACTTTTCATCGAACAACCTGACTAACAACTTAAGACTGTACCCGAAGAATCCAAACGGGCCCTCCATGGCAGGGGGTCAGACCCGAACGCCGAAACGCAGGGGTCTTCGAAGGCCCGAACCAAAGCCAAGGGTGTCACTTGGCGCCCGGATTCTCCGCGCTCGGAGTCTTAGGGTACAAAATGTTCAAACCGGGTCAACCTTTCTTGTACTCTTCCACTTGGATTCCGCCATCTGGACACACTGCTCTATGCCATGCTCTATGACGTTTCCGGATTTGCGGGTTTGAATGCTTTTTGTGGGATGTTGATAGTGTTTTCTTTGCAAAGTCCATGAACATGTTCATGGATAATGAATCTCCATCGTATCTTTGGACTATTTGCAATTTGCTCTTAAAATCCATGAACCAGCAAAAATGAAGGCCTCCATGATCTCCAGAGCCAGCACGCCTTGTGTGGTTTCTTGTAGATGACAGGCCAAGGGCTGTGCTTGGTCCTTGCAACACAGGCTCCACAAAACGTGCGGTCCAAAGGCATGTCAACCAATTCTGCGACTTTGCGACCTACCAGTGCCTTTTTTGCGCTGGGTTTCTCCGTCAACACCGAGATCCCCAGTAGCTTTCTTGGCCCAAATAAGCTTCCAGTACCTTGATCGGTAGTTCGGAAGGTTCCCAAGAACTTCCCAAGAAACACACACCAGTCCCACCATCTCTGAGGGGCGGTCGGGACGGGAGCTGTGGGGTGATGCAAGAACCAGTTATGTTAGACTGACAAACCCTTCTGCTTCAGAACTTCCGCGTCTGCGTGTCGCAGCACATGTTTTATCCTGTCTTGAGCACAACTGACTCAGCTTCATCTGCAAAAGTTAGAAAAAATGATCCTCTGCACGCTTCAAGCCCTACAATGAACAAAGGACTGCAACCACCAGCTGTGATCTCATGTGTTTTGTTTGCAAACACTGCGACTGTTTCACGAAGGATTTTAGACTACAAAGCGGGGTCAACCTATTTTGGTCTCGACGAACGGAATGCAAACAGGTAAGACTCAGATACCTCAGAATGTCCATATTGACTCACCCCGAGATCTCCAAGTCGAGATCTCCACCACTTGGTAGTCGGGAGTCAAAACGAATCATTTGATTGTGGGCTTCCAGGGTACCAGCAGCACCACAAACCATCAAAAACCTTAGCAAAAACAGGGTATGTGAAAACCTTTATGGTTTTGAGGGCCACTGTAAAAAAATGGAAAAAAAGATGAATTCTCAAACACCTCAGGCTTCGACTCTCCATTGATCCGCTGCATTGGGCAAGCAGTGCACTCCGCCTGTGAGCAGGTGAGCAACAAATTCAGCAAGAAGAACTGTCGGTGAAACCGATACAAACCGACATAAATTCACTCCCACTCACGTAACATGTAGAACATCGGCCAAATGACCTGATTCAGGCCTACTGCGTAGTCACTATACAGTGGACCTATGGGTGTTCAACCATTCCAACCTCAAATTCATCTGACCGTCGCTTCGACTCTGCTCTCGCCTTGAGGACGTCGCCCACCTTGGGCCTCTCTTTGGTTCCCTCCATATCTGGGCGACGCGAAAAGGCCGTCCCGAGCGTCCGGTGCCACGACCGCTCTCCGCGTTCGTGGCCACACTGGGAGGTCGGGATCTTCCGATCTGCGAAATGTCTGGCTAACTTGGCTGTTTTGTTGTATGGGAAGGCAGAAATTGGTCACGGTTGGAAGATCCAGGTATCTATCCATACACACACCCATATATTATGAGTATTTATGAGTGGGAGACTGCTTCGCTGGATGAGAGGAAATTCCCACCCTCAGCAAGTCTCACCCCATGCAGCGCTAGACTGTGGGTGAGAGATAGGGTGCAACAAGCGAGAGAAGAAAAGAACAAACAGTGACAGAAAGGGCGGACACATCTTAATTCTAGAATTGAGCACCCCTAACAGTATAACTCTTTGGAGAAAAAAACACACACCAATGAAACACCTCTTTTCTACTTCTTTTCGTGATTTCGACGCTCCGTCCGCCGGGTCCGGAGTGCTCACTTTTCTTCGTTGGAAAGCGAGCGGCCGTACCGGACCCGGTTCGGTACGAGGGCCGACGAAAAGCACCATGGCCAGGTCCTGGTCCATGTCTTGCGACACCGGGGCGGAGTGGCATGTGACACATGCGGTGCCTCCAACTTGAAGCGAATCACCATGAAGTACACCAGGGGGACGCAAATCACCCCAGAACACTCCATGTACCCTTTTTGGGGCTCCAAGTACCTCCTCAGAAGGTATGACTGGACCCTCTAGACAGATATGGTATTTTGAGCCCCAGGCATAGTTACATCACCACGAAATATGACAACTTGTGCCAGTCAGTCGTGTCTGGGTTAGGTCAGGTACTTCACTCAGCATTTCAGCACCGTTTTCCTTCACGTTCTGGGTCTCCCACAGCGGGGCATCCAGCCCTGCAGGCCGCTGTTCATCATCTCCACGCGGGTACCTGGCGGACTGGGAGGATTTGCAGTCTGGAAGACGACAAAACACCCACCTCGTGTGTGTCATCTAATCAGTTCCAACGCGCATCAGTTCAAACGCACCCTAGCCAAGCCGGAAGCACGTACTGGGTCCCACCAGCTGTGTGTTGACCCGGTACTGACCGACCAGCTGTGTGTTGCAGGGTTCGTGCGACCGGGTCACCGGATTCCGGGAGAGTGTCTGGAGAGTGGAGGATCGCGGCCACCGGTTGGATCAAAGGGTCATTCTGAGGTCTCACCCACTTCTGGCAACGAAGTGCTGCTGTGCAGCTTAAACTCAAGTGACTCAAGTGTTTAAAAAAAATACAGCGCTTATTTTTTTTCTGCCCCTCATGTGCTCATAGCATATCTACATCAGGGGATACCCATCAGGTGCACATGTATAAAGGTTTTCATCTTCCACACCTGGACATGGGGTCTTCAACTATTGAATTATGCCCTCATGGCCATGGAAGGGCTCCGCAAGCATGACCATATTCCTCCTACCAAGGAACAGGTGGTGGTCTACTTCATAGGACCCCCAGGGAGTGTCTAGCCTTTTGATCTGATCCCTTTTCGAAGCGAAAACACATGTTTCACCTGTCCATGGGACCCACCTGTCCATGTTTCACCTGTCCCGCGAGGTGACCAGTCTTTTTTTTCCAAAGCCAAAGCACAAGTCTCGCTGCCGCGGCCTCACGTGCAGTCATTACAAATTAAGTGCATAGGCAGTGGCAGGATTGAAATCCGCACCCTGCGCCGCTTCCGTGTCGAAGTCGGCCATGAGATCACATACAAATGTGTGAAACTCGTCCGGGTGCCTAATTCCGCCTTTGGCGGGAAGGGCAGCTTCGAAAACTTTGGCCAAGGCAAAGCAGAGTCCTTTTGGATACTCTTTGAGCTTGGAAGTGGCCCAAGTTCCATCTGACTGCCGCCCAATTGCGGAGGTACACGGAAGCGGAGTGCACCGTGCTGCCAACAGAATGTGCTCAAGGTTACGAGGTGCATGTCAACAACTTCGATGGCTTAGGCGAGAGTCCACCATAAAAGCCCTGAAGAATGCGCACCAGCCTTGTTCCCCGAAATCGCAAGAGATATCTGATGACAGCTAGCCTCCACACAGAAGCAACTCCCGGATCAGTCGAGTCGTCCGAAGGGTGCTCCATGACTCCAACCGCACCACAAAAGATTGCAATGAGCAGGAGCCTGACAGTAACTCCGAGTAGCCCGCTTCCGAGTAGCACCTGTAGTGACTCCTTACGTGTGAGGTAGCGGTGGCCATATGGCACAGCAGCTGTCCTGACGATGCGTGGTCCACCACCATGTTCTAGGGCTACTCCCCTTGCCACAGACCAGGTTTCGCAAGGAGGACCTGCCACGAATCCTCGAACCCAGCCTCTATATAAGGCTTTACGGAAAAATTGGAAAGTGTCCTCCCTGAGGAGGTTTCCCCTAGTAGCATCAAAGATAATATCGATTGATAATGTTTTGAAGCCCATACTTTCCAGAACACCTTGTAGGTCACCTTCCCGGCGGTGTCCCGAGAAAAGGTGCGCCACAAATATGACTTCGAACTCTGGCAGTGTTCTCGGAAGTATAACAATTTCGTCAAAGGAACCTGCAGCACATTCAAAAGCCTGGGTGGCCTTCATAGGCCTGTCGGCAGTCTGAGCGCAGTGAATGCCAAACCAGGAGGGCCCAAACAGCATCTTATAGCGCTCAATTGCACAGACTGTAGCCAGGGTAATCTCTTCATGTGCTTGTAGGTGCTCACTCGCCCATTGACAGAATAGCTCAAGAACCTCATGTCCCTCAGCCTCACAAGCAGCAGTCCAACCTTGACGTAATTTCTCAGCCATTGAGGTTTCGTCTTCAACCCAAATGGGCCCAGCATGGCCCAGTGCAGGAACCTTAGGCCCTTCTGCTTGCATGAAAGGGTGATGCCACTCCCCGAGTTTCGCGTGTGCTCCTCGGCTGTTGACTCCTGGTGCAATTTCGACAAGCAATCCCCTTTGCAAGTAAAAGTTCCTGCATTCAGGCTGACGTTTAGCATGTTTAACTAAGTCGATGTTGGTCGAATAATGTTTCAGGCAATTTTCACATTGTTGCCCACACACAAATTTCCTGAGCTCGTTGCAGCGCCCATGCTTTTTAAAAGCATGAACAGATTGGGCCGCACAGCTAGCAAAACTCTTTTGGCACTTAATGCAAAAGAACCCAATTTGTTCATTGAGATGCGAATGCTTTAACTGGAGACCCATCTGTACAATCTCATCAAGAGCCCATCTATGCCATTTTTCTCATTCAAAGGAGCGGCGGTCAAAATCAATCGAGCGCTTGACAGCTCGTCGTATGGTTGATTTCCATCGTCCCGCTGACAAAGCCACGAAGGAAGCAAAACCATCCCAGCTGTCCCTATAGTGGTCAGGTATGTTGGCCTTCAGGGCACAGACTTCTGGGCCATTGGATGTCCTCGCTCAATGCTTGGAACCACAACCCATCCTGTTGGATCATTGCCCAAAGATGGGGAATCCCATTGCGAACCAACTGCAGGACAAACCGCAGACGTGCCTCCCTTAGGAAGACAACAGCATCTGCCACACCCAGCTCGCTGAGTATTCGGGGAGCACCCCAGGTCAGTGCCGTCGGGCCAAAGTGCAAAATGGCAAGACGCTTATGCAACTTGAAGTGCCCCTTGGTCAAGCATTGCCATTCCCGTTGGGTTTGCGGGAGCCAACATGCAGCATGGAAGTAAAGCGCACTATACACCAAGCTGCCAACATATTGGATTTTTGTTTGCAAAGCCATTCCACGGTTGGCAAAAATCTGTTGTCGGAATTTGGTTACCGTCTGGTGCGCAATGGCGAAGCGTACTCTCAGATCCATGTTGATTCGCCCTCCAACGTGCATCCAGGTCCCCAGGTGTTTGTAAGCCGGAACCACACGAAGTGGCTGTGTGACCAGCCGTGACGACGTTTGCACCTGGTAGTCATCGTGCACCAGCTGACGTCTAGCCTTCAAGGCTCCCTGCCCCCTGAAGTCGATGATAATTTCAGTCTTCCCCTTACTGAGGTTGGGCTGGAGTCCAGCAACTGCTAATCTGTCGAACAGGTGCCCGGCCACATCACTGATCATATGCGACAACAGAGTAGCATCAGGAGCATGCAATGCCACCGCAATGTCGTCTGCCCATATCGGAAACACCAGTCCAAGTGGAGGGGAAGGTCGCTGTAGCCCATCCCATGGCGTGTAAAGGCCAGGATACTTGGTTAAGATGACAGACTCGAATTCCCATAAGATCTTGCTCAAAGCAAAAGAAAAGCAGAGGTCTGCATAGGAATCACCCGGCCGAGATCCACGACGGGTTTGAGTGAGGACATCTGTCCCATCAACCAGGTAGACGAGAAGAACTCTTGGTACATTCGTCTAACAAACGGGGAGGCTTGAGACAGCTCAATAGCAGATTTCGTTCTCAGCAATGTAGTAAACTCTTGCCAAGCAGCTGGGGGCAACCCCAGCTTGTGGAAGATTTCCTGTGCCCCTTGCGGACTATCATTGCATTCAGTAAAATGTTCACGAAGCAATCTGTAGAAGGCATCGGAAATGTCAACGTAGAGGAACGCTACACTGTCCCCTTGCTTCAACCAAAATCGATGAAACAGCGAGAGCGACAATGCAGCTTGTGTGGTTGCAAATCCCGGTAGCCCTCCAATTTGCATCGGCAGCTTGGTCGAAAAGGACCTAACCAACTCTTCTCGAAAGTTGACATGTAGTGCTTTCCCTATCGGGCTGCTGACAAACAACGAACGATAGCTGCTGCACAAAGACGGATCGCCTCTTTTAAACGAGGGCACAAGGCGACCACCTTTATAAATCATCGCCTCCTGCATTTGCGTCAATTCCTTGACATACAGGGGGTAGAATGCTTGGACAAGAAGTTCCGGGAGCATATGAAGCACATCCCCCGGCACTCCATCCACAAAATACCCTTTGCCACTTCTGGTGTTCCGGAAAAAGCGCTCCAGTTGTACAACGCTGGGGAGATCATTCCAGTTAGGCAGCTCCTCCTGTTCCATCACCCGCTCATTTCGTTGCTTAAAGAGCTGATGGATATCGACTTCAATGCCATCCTCCTGTTCACCGAAGTAACGTCGCCACTGCTCGGCAACCTCCCTGTAATCAAGGCAAGGCTCCCTGGAGGAATTGTGAACAACTGGCAATGGTCGAATGGAGGTTGGCCTGCGTCGACTCTGGACCCCCAATGCTTGAAAGGCTTTAATGAAATCTTGCTGCGACATACCAGCTTGCCCCCGAGCCAACTGTTCAAGTTGTGCAGTCCGGTCAACCTTCAATTTCTTGGAAAGCTGTCTGGAGAGCATGGCACTTTTTTGTCGGAGCTCAAAGCATCGTGCAAAACCACGAAAGAAGCCGGCAACGATCCTGTGCAAGCTCAGAGTTTCATTTTGACGCCAAGCCCGAATGACAACCCTAAGGGTCACCCCGGCCAAAAAGGTCCTGCTAGCTCTCAATTGATTCCTGCATCTGTTGCGGCTTGTGCGCAGCGACCATGTATCTTCACGAATGTAGCTCTTTCTCTGCACCGAGCGAGACTTGGGAAAGTGGACACTGAGCGTCTGCTGGACCCATTCAGAGAGCCTATGTGCATGCGTATCAACATCAACCTCCCAGGGGATGCATGGGCGGCTTCCAAAGATGCCACGTAACTTGTCCGGGCAGCAGCGCTGCAACTTGACCCTGTCAAAGGAAAGCACCACAGACTTCGGGCGCCGGCTCTGCAGGAATACATACACCTCAGCAGCTACTGGAATGTGATCCTCGCCAGACCTTCCTGAGTCAATCGAAGGCAGTACATAGGACTTAATTCTGGCATGACACCAGTCCAGTGGAAGAGCAATGTAGTCACATCTGGCAGTCTGTCCATTAGCAGGGCTGACCCAAGTCGTCGTCGGTCCTTCATGGTACTGCT